GTGGAGGAGCGCAAGGTCTCTAACATCCACCAGCTCCGTGATGTCGTCATGGAGGAGTGGAAGAGGACTCCAGTGGCAACCTGTGAAGCTCTGGTGAACTCCATGCCCAAGAGGGTTAAGGCAGTGCTGGAAAATAATGGTGTCCACACAAAATATTGACACTTTGGGCCCAATTTGGACATTTTCACTTAGTGGTGTACTCACTTTTGTGGCCAGCGGTTTAGACATTAATGGCTGTTATTTTGAGGGGACAGCAAATTTACACTGTTCTACAAGCTGTACACTCACTACTTTACATTGTAGCAAAGTGTCATTTCTTCAGTGTTGTCACATGAAAAGATATAATAACATATTTACAAAAATGTGAGGGGTGTACTCACTTCTGTGAGATACTGTATATATATATATATATATATATATATATATATGCCCTACCTTTGTTTTGAAATTATTTCCTATAGTCTACAGTTAATGTCATTGATGAACATGTTGTATTTAAATTATCTGTGACTGTATTTTATTCTCAGCTCTGGATCTTTCCCAGCATTGTGGGTGGGATCTTGTTGTACCTCTTATCTGATGACCACTGGGAGGAGATTTCAGCATGGCTGTATGGAGCGGGACTATCAAGCCTTTTCATCATATCCACAGTTTTCCATACTGTCTCCTGGAAGAAGTCTCATCTCCGGTAAGGCTTTCATATGAGCCAAATCAGCTTTTTGATTAGTACATTTCAGTCTGTGTAATGTGAATCCAGACACTTGAACATGAATGTCTTTCTAGTGAGCTGCAAGTGTGTTTTGTTTCGTGTCATGAATTTGAGCTTGTGTAGCTGGAAGCATTTAAGTGTACTTGTGTTCATATCATCTTTAAGGCCTAACTGATAATCCAGCTTTTTACCCGTTATTAATTACACATGTACTTGAAAAGTGAAATCTAATAAGTGCTGCTTTACTTTTTAGATCAGTTGAGCACTGTTTCCACATGTGCGACAGGATGGTGATCTATTTCTTTATTGCAGCGTCCTACACACCGTGGTGAGCTCATGTAATTTATGTTGGGCTGTCATAAATTGACACAGAGTTTCGGGCGGGGAGATGGATAACAGTGTAAAGACCAAGAGTTCATGTGCCAATATTTTTCAGTTTGTTTCCACTAAGCTGTGTGAATGGGGAGTGTTTTTTTTTTTTTTTTAGCAGAAATAGGCTTCTGATGGTGACAAAGATTCTTTTACTATAGAAAAATGTTCCTCATTGGACAGCCCTCTACGGACACCTTGGCAATTGAATCGCCATTGGCTAGTAAATTTTTTTGTTTACTCGCCAGACTGATAAAAAAATAAAAATGTAAATAAATAAATAAATAAATATATATATATAGTACAGTTTCAGATATTTATATAACTGTGCCATTTTACAAACACACACACACACACACACAAATATACAATGATAATCAATATTATTTAACCCTTTCGCACGTGAGTTAAAAATATTCTAGCTGAGCCCCGAGCGTGAGTTTTTTTTTAGGCGACCGTTATTTTAGAATGTATTGCCTGTTTCCATGGCGGCGCGTCATGCTTGTCATGTGACACAACGCAGCCACAATAGCTCTGTATGACACATGGATCGCTTTTATTTATTTTTTCCTGTTTTATTCAAAATATTCACAAACATGCTCACTATATTATGAAATATCTGATATTCCGATTCTGAAATATGTGCAAGTAAATCTATTCGGTAGTTTAAACACTTTTATGTCGACCGTGTTAGTTGATCCATACCGGGTGATGGGCGTCGCCATGTTAGTTCGCGCTGCATCCGAGCTGTGGGATTTACAACACGCAAATTCATCCTCTCCTACCGAAACATGTTAAAGTAGGTCTCCGGTAAACTGGGAGAAGAGCAGAGTAAACTTTATAGTTACCTACACAATCTGTATATGATATCAATAAAAACATGATCATTATTGCCATTTCCATAGAAATCAGCACGTATTTTACAAACTATAAATGTATGGTATGGTTTCGCTGTGTATTTAAATGTCTGAAACCTAAAATAAGCATTATATGGTTGAAAACACTGAATATTCTGAATATTTTGACAAGCGCTCAGCG